GACGTGCGGGAGTGGCTGCAGGTGCAGAAAGTAAAAGCCAGCTCACAGCCAGAGCTGCTGGACGTCTCCTGGCTGGTGGAATGCATGAGAGCAGGGAAGCCGGTGGAGGCCACAGGAAAACACCAGCTGCTCGTAAGTGGCAAAGCGGGGATGGCCATGGCCTTTTGCTTGATGGCCGAGGACGTGGGCTTTGGAGTCGGGCTGGCGGGGGTTAAACCCCGGAGTCTCTCTGCTCGCTTCCCCGCAAACTCAGGCCAGTCACGTGACTCATCTGAGCTTCAGTTTTCTCCCCTGCAGCATGAGAGAACAGCAATGCCTAACTCATAGGATGGACGTGAAGATTGCAATGACATCTGAGGGGACTTTGAAACGTTCATGGAAATAAAATTAAAGTATCAGTTTATTTTGGTGCAAAAGTTTTTTGAAATCTGTGCAGATTTTTTTTTTTGGAGAGGTTTTTGCTATGGGGTGTATGCACTCGCCAGAAATACAGAGAGAGACAGAGAGGCAAAAAGCGAGAAATCACCCCTGGGAGGATGGCCATGCCACAATCCCTTCTCCTCCATTCTCCTCTCGGGATCTTGGGCATGCACGCACACACGCCCAGCGTGAGTGTAATCCACCAGGTCCGGGACTCGAACCGTGGTCGACTACATGGGAGTTCAGTGACATAGCCATTACACTAACTGCTGGTCCCCATGCAGTTTTTTCATTAGATTTTTTTTTTCTGCAAAATTTTAAGACCTCCTTGATCATATAAAGCACTTTACACAGTTCCTGACGGAGTAGGCAGTGAATAAATGGTAGCTATTTTTATGAACACGTTCATAAACGAATATTTAAAAGAGTTAACCCTTAATGTTCTTACAGCCCAAACACTTAGAGGGTTCCTAGTTTGTTTGCTTGCTTTTTCCTACTGTAATCATTGAGGGAAGGAGAAAAGGAAGTTAGGGTCTCAATTCCAAGTCTTTGACCCATAGTGCTAGAACCCTTGGACAGTCTTCGGCCATAACTAGGTAAGCCCAAAGGAAAGGAAAACAATATTTAATTAATGGTTCTTTTTCATGTTTTTGTTTTCCTATTTCAAACATAATACTCTTTGGGGACCGACACTGGTGCCGTGGTAAAATGCAGTACTATCAGCTGGCCTCCAGGCGAGGTTCTGTTGTAGAGTGCCGACGAATGAACCACTACCAAAGCAAGGTTAAGGTGAGAGGGAGTCCTCAGTAGCTGGCCAGTGACTACAGCCTGAGGCTCGGGCACCGAGAGTCAGAACTGCAGCCCCGACTGAAGTCTGAGTAGTCTTTGCATAGGGGGTCAGTTATCAGGGGGTTCTATGCAAGCATAGAAGCTGAATCAAGCAGGTTAATTATTCCTGAGGGGACTGGGGCTGCCATGCAAGCAGTTCCATTGCTAAACAAAAGGGTTCTGGGCTAGTTAGCAAAGACAGTAGCAGGTGCAGGATGGTGTCCTGGATATGGTTTTCTGTACGGCTAGCACAGCTATTTTCTCACGGGAAGAGCAAGCGGGTTACAGAAGCAGACAGCCATGTTAGGGGAAGGGTACAAAATGGACGAACAGTTGCTCATGTGTGAGATCTAATATGCGGCCTTCCGCAGTTCCAGGTTTGTGCCCGGAGCCCTCCCTGGTATGCTGACCATGTACGCCATGACAGGACTGGCTGAGGCTGGAGGGCTTGGGATATCAAACCCTGCGGGGGGGTGCTTTCTCTCTGTCTCTCTCATTTATGGAAGAAATAAATAAATAAACTTAAAAAACATGCTAATGATAGCAAATTCAAATATTGGAGACGTATATAACAAAATATTTAAGTCTCCAGTAATTTTATCATCCTCCCAGGGACAACACATGTGTGTGTATATGTGTGTGTGCGTGTGTGTGTATACACTATTAACTGATATTAAAATGGTTACTTAGGTGGGCCAGCAGCTGGCGTGGTCATGAAGGAACTGGATTCCCACATGGTCGGCTGCGGTTTCAGTCCCAGACCCAGCGACTTGGACATCATGTCAGATATGTGTGCATGCCTAAAATCTCAAAGAGGAGAAGAGATTGTGGTGTGGTCATCAACCCAGGGGGGGGATTTGTCACTTGCCCTCTCTCCTTCTCTCTGATAAATGCACGTGCCCTGTGGCAAAACAAACAAAAAAAGATGAAGAAGGTGCTTATGTCTGTTTAGGTGAAAAGTGACCATTCAACCAGCCCCAGTCCAGGGCCTCAGAAGACTCCTGCCCTTGCTGTACAAAAGATCTCCCAGTACGCATGCCAGAGAAGAACCACTTTAAACAACTGCAACCGCGTATTCACGGTAAGGGGCCTTGCAACAACACCCAGAGCAAATGAAGAGCTGACTGGCCTCACGCTTAGTGCAGTGGTTAAGCACTGTCGGGAGGGAGTAGGATCCCACTGTGGCTGACTGTTCAGGTCCCAGCCCTGGCATATGAAAAACAAACAATTTGCATGCACACGAGCCATGCACCCTGAAAACATTTTCTCACACCCATTTATGCCCCAGCCTGCTCTTTGGCTCTTTTTATCAAGAATGGGTCTCCTTTTTGCCTAGAAATAGGCAAATACAAGTGGATTATACTCTTTAAAGATGGTGGAATACTATTTATTGAGAGTTGTCAGTAATAGGCACAACACTTGTTAAAGTCAAATATTCTAAAAAGCCAAATACGTACTTAGTCCAAACCCTAGTAAGGGCAAACTACAGCAGTCGTGGGGCCACAGCCTTGGTGGGGAACCGAAAGGCTGAGCAGGCCTGGGTGCCAGCCTCTCTCTCCAACAAGCTGGGGCAAGTCAGTTCCTCTCTCTGAGCCTTGGATTCCTCATCCGTCCCCTAAGAAATGATCCAGATCATTTCTGAAGCCCCTCCGACCCTGAAACGTGGTAACTGTGTTTCAGATGTCCCTCCCAAGCCCACAGCTGCTCGTCCACTCGCCGACCCTCACTGGCTGGCTGGGAAACGTGCGATCATCCACCACATGCAGATTCTCATTGTAGGCTCGCGGCCCACATCTGCAGGGCGTGAAGAGTATGGTGTGCCAGGCCAGCTCTTCTGCTAGAAATGTAAACATGCCCTCCCTCGAGCAGTCCTAGCCTTAGGTACCTGTGACCTGTGATCACACTTATTCATTCAACAGCCCTGTGTTAACTGCAGTCTGCGTTTCATACACAGGCTAAGAGGCAGGACGCCCAGTGATTAGGGCCAGCCTGGCCACAGACTAGAGGAAAAGACAGCAAGCCAAGCCAGAAAGACCATGCCAGGTCAACCCTTGAGCACATCATGTTTTTGGTTAAAACACCCTTGAGTATCTTAAGGCAGAGAACTCCAAGCTGCCCTGCACTGTACTCTGGGGCCTGTCTTTTCACCTCGACTCTTCTCAGTCCCACAGGGAGGGGTGCCAAGGTCCAGGACCCACCAACCTGACCTCCAAGGAATGTCAGGCAGCATTCCAGTATTCACGGGAGAGCAGGGGCTGGGGCTAGCTGTGGGCTCAGGGGCTTGGAAACAGACCTTCACTTATCTGGCTTTATTCTTCAGGATGCCTTCGAGACGCTGGCTGAAAATTACGAGTTTAGAGAAAACGAAGACTCCTCTGTGATATTCCTGAGAGCAGCTTCTGTCCTGAGATCTCTGCCTTTCCAGGCAGCATTCCAGTATTCATGGGAGAGCAGGGGCTGGGGCTAGCCATGGGCTCAGGGACTTGGAAACACCTTCGCTTATCTGGCTTTATTCTTCAGGATGCCTTTGAGACGCTGGCTGAAAATTACGAGTTTAGAGAAAACGAAGACTCCTCTGTGATATTCCTGAGAGCAGCTTCTGTCCTGAGATCTCTGCCTTTCACCATCACCAGTATGAGGGACACGGAAGGACTTCCCTGCCTGGGAGACAAGGTGAAATGTGTCATAGAGGTAAGGGTGACATGGGGTTGTCCCACCTCCTGACAGGCAGGACGAGAGAAGCGGGGTGGGAGGGTGTGTATTTATCAGTGGTGGAGGAGAGTTTGTAACTTAGTTTTTCTTATTTGTATCTGTGTGTGTGTGTGTGTGCCTGTGCACGTATGTATATATACCTATCCTGACATACAGTTATATATGTTACAGAGTTCTACACACACCTGTATTAATAATATTCCAGTGTAATCACAGCTGTAGCTACATGGGGGCCAGCTAATGGAAAAAGAACTCTCCCCTTCCATTATTTGTCAGGTGGCCTAAAACCTCAGCAGCAGGGGGACAGTCTGACTTCAAACACAGCCTGTCGGGGACCTCAGTCCTGCTCAGATTCATCACCTCGGGGACAGTGCTGATTCTGGTCTCTGCCTGTGTGTCCCGGGGAGAGATCCAGGGCTGGTGTTTACTTATTTAATGATGTTTAAGGGCTCCCCAGCAAGGCAAGTGGGTCCTCTGGTACTAAGTTTCATATAGCCGAGTGTGAGTTGTATTATACAAGGGATAATCCCACTTCTACTTAGAGGAGGGTGGCTCTGACCGAGGCATCCCAAGAACTTGAATGTGGGTTGACTTGTAAGTGAGCTCAAAATTAACCTGCTCAATTGAAAAGTCATCTTATTTCAGCAAGTTCATATTGACTGAAAAGAAAATGATCAGGGGTCAGCAGGTGGTGTGGAGGCTAAGGTGGCCGGACCCCACATGGCCAACTGTGTGGTTTGTGTCCTGGACCTGGTGCTTGAAAATCATCCTGGGTGTATGATTTGGGGCAAGCATGCCCCAAAATCTCGGGAACACAATGGAAGAGGAGGGACTGTGGCATGGCCATTCCCCTGGGCATTTTCTTTCTCTCTTTTTCTCTCTGTCTCTGCCAAGTGCACACATTCAATAACAAAAACAAAAATACTAGAAAAAAAAATCACAACAATTTGTACGTGTGATCATCAATGATGCGTATTTGGGCTTGGGGTTCCACAGATCTGGCCGCCAATCATTCCCTTGTCCCTGAGGACTGTAAGGCTCTTGGGTACATGCTGGGTCAGGGTTTTCAGGGTTACAGGGAAGTGTCTTGTTCCCTCCAGATCATCCGAGAGAACACCCTGCACAATGGATATGTGTTTCATGAGAAGTCAGGTTAGGAGGTCTGTGAGCTGAGCTTCTCAGACTGGGATTGTCCACCACCACTAATCTGAATTGTTCACCGACCTTTCGTATAGGAGATTATTGAAGATGGAGAGAGTTCTGAAGTGAATGCTGTACTGAATGATGAGCGCTATAAATCCTTCAAAGTAGGTGCCTTTACATACATTAATGGCGAGTGTTTCTTCGGTTAATCTCACTGTTAATTCCGGGTGGTTGTATTCGTCTGCTCGGACCGCTGTAATGAAATACCACAGGCTGCATGCTTTAAAGAGCAGGGATGACCCTCTCACGGTTCCGGATGCTGAGCATTCTAGGTCCAGGTGCAGGTGCGGTCTGCTGCTGCGAGGGCTCTCTCTCTAGCTTGCAGGTGGCTGCCTTCTTGTTATATCCTTCCATGGTGCAAAAAGGGGAGTGAGAAAGTTTTCCAGGGCCTCTTATAATGGCGCTTCGAGGGCTCTGTCCTTATTAGCTCATCCAAACCTTGCTTCCTCCCAAAGGCACCGTCTCCAGCCGTCACGCTGGAGATCAGGGCTTTAATTTCCTACACATGTGGAGGAAACGCAAGTCAGTCCGCAGCAGCGGTTTGGGAAATAAATCCCTAAATAAATCTAAGTGTTCTAGCTTATTTATGGTAATATACAAATTACCATTTTTTCCTCAAAGGTACAAATATAGGGATGTGAGGATCATGGAGTCCAGACAGACTTTCTCTGAAAGAGCAAGACTGTATCCCCGTTGTATCCTCATCCACTTGGGAGCAGTTTGTCACCTCCCGGTGGTCCCTGCCTGAGGCACAGGGAGAAGGAGCGTCCACAGTCCTTTCGGGGAAACACACGCCTGAAGTGTGGCTCTGAGTAGGAGCCCAGGCTTCAAGTGTAGAGAGAGTGGGGTTCAGGCTGGGCTCTGTAGGCTGGGCTCTGCCTGGGAGGGGGCATTGACGTAACCCACACAGACGTCCTTCTTTAAAATGTGAGTGTAGATGTGCAGGGCAGGGTATGATAGAGGGGACTCGGCAAAGGGGAGTGCCCAGCAGGGGTGCCCCATCACACACAGAGCACTGGGGAGAGCCCAGCAGGGGTGCCCCATCACACACGGGGAGCACTGGGGAGAGCCCAGCGGGGGTGCCCCATCACACACAGAGCACTGGGAAGAGCCCAGCGGGGGTGCCCCACCACACACAGAACACTGGGGACCCTCGATTTGACTGTGAGCCCTACACAGATGCCAGACTCTGCCTGACTTCTGTCTCATTTCATAATACCGCGTGTCACCACAGGACTCACTAGAAACAAATCGCCTCCAACCATCACAGATCTGCTTATGATCAGGAGAAACCGGGTCACAGGTTTGCTTCCGATCTTCCTTCCTTGCCTGAGCCGTTAAGTCCCACTTCGTTGTCACATTGATTGTTCTAGGGACTAACGACATGCCCTTCCCCTTCTCAGCTCTTCACTTCTGTGTTTGGAGTGGGGTTGAAGACGTCTGAGAAATGGTTCAGGATGGGCTTTCGAACTCTGAGTAGAGTAAGGTCGGACAAGAGCCTGCACTTGACACGAATGCAGCAAGCAGGTAAGCCGCCTCTGCTAGAGCTGTGTTGCTGTGCGGGGCTAAGCAGAGCTCGACGGTGGCTGTACTTCAGCTTCCTGGGTGAGCCGGGGCACTTGCTTGCTGTCTGTTGAAGCTTGGCTCCATATCTGGGCTCTAGCATTTAGCCGTGTGATCTTGGGCAAGTTGGGTAAGTCTTTGAGCCTTCGCTACCCGATCTATTAAAATACGAACTGGGGAACAGACCAGATGACGCAGGCACAACCCGCAGCACTGTGTCCGGCACAGGAGGCTCTCGATGCTCCTTTATCGAGCCTCAGACCAACGTACTGCCGATCTGGTTCTCACACACTCGTCTAGACACTTGGGTCTTGGCTGTCCCCATGGGTAGGAGATGTGGGTGAGGACTCAAGGATGGAAGGACCAGTCAACACAGTGGATGGGGGAGGGAAAACAACAGAGTCATTACCTGGAGCAAATGCTGTAGGAACGAATGAACGAGGAAAACAGACGGGAAACAGTGAAATCTCGACACAGGGCAGACTGCAGTCTGAGAACTAGCATCGCCACTTAAAGCCAGGCTGGGCTGCTCAGAGATGACTAACTTGGTGACTTTCATTTATGGAGGGCTCTGGTATAAATAAATAAATAAATAAATAAATAAATAAATAAATGCCAATACAGGGTCAAAATTATTATATGTGTTTTAAATATTTCCTTTTAACATTCAGTAGGAATTCAATATAATCGTGATTGAAAAGGACGCACAGCCATAGTCCCCGTAATATGGCTCCCAGAGTTACAGAGAGTGATGAAGTCATCAACATTTTTAGGAATGTGAAAATAAGATCCTTTTTTAAGTCTCTTTCTTTCATGAGAGAGGGAGAGCAGACGCCTCAACAGGATCTCATGCCATAATCCACTTCACCCCTAGCCTTTGGCCAGCCAGGACACGGGCCCGTGCACATTGACCTGCACGAGCTGACCCCACAACCAAATCCCTATCTCCGACACGGCTTTCAGCACCGCAGAAACTTGCACTACTGCCTGGCTACTGAGGCTGGGCGGAAAGTAAGAATTTTTTTTTTTTCTTTTGGATTTTGCCATAGGGTGCCTGCACTTGTGAGAGACAGACAGACAGACAGACAGACAGTGAGAGCAAAAGTGAGAAATCAACCTCCAGGGTGGATGGCCACACTGTAATCCCTTCTCCTCCACTCTTCCCCTGGGATTTTGGGCACGCATGCAATCATGCCCAGCATGATTTTCAAGCCATCGGGTCCAGGATTCAAAATGTAGTCAGCCATGTAGGATCTAGTCCCTGAACCTCCACGCCACCTGCTGACCCATGAAAGTAAGCAAATCTTTAATCAGAGGAGACCAGAAAGAGAAAAGAAAGTAAACGACTATCTTTTATTTAAGATATAACCAACCAACCAAACAAACAGCATCAATACGACAATAAAACAGCAGCAGTATAGGAAACAAAATATTGTGGGCCCCCTCGGTGATGCTGCAGAAGACCCCTACTCACCTTGTGTAGATGCCGGTCTCTGCAAAATTGGTAATAATCTTCATTCAGTGCCACATAGGAAATGAAAGTCTACGGGGCCAGCAGATGTTGTAGTGGTTATGTCACTGGACTCCCACATGGCCGACGATAGTTCAAGTCCAGGTCCTGGTGGCTTGAAAATCATGCTGGGTGTGTGTATACCCACCATCCCAGGAAGAGAAGGAATTGTGGCATGGCCATCCCCCCTTGGGGACGATTTCTCACTTCCCTCTCACTGTCTCTCTCTCTCTCTCTCTCCAGCAAACACATGGCAAAAACCTAAAGAAAAAGAAGAAGAAGAGGAGGAGTAGGAAGAGGAAGGAAGAAGAGAAAGTATGCTTTTTGAGGAGGATACTCGCACTGCGGAAATGCTATAAGTTGGGTCATGACGCATTTTCGTGTAGAAAAACATAGGAAAAATACATTGTCATGACTTTTCTGACAATCCAATAGATGAGGAGATGCTCTATTCAACTCAAACTATTTAGGAGGTAAAACTATGACTCTTTATTGTGGGATCCTGAAAGTATGCTATTTCTTTTAGATTTTCGTCATGGGTGTGTGTGCACTTGTTGGAGAGAGACAGAGAGAGAAAGTGAGCAACCACCCAAACCCCTTTCCTCCGTCCTCCCCTCAGGATTGTGGGCACACGTGCGCAAATGACGAGTGTTCTCAGAGTCTAAGGAGCTTTGTAAAGTAGATTTTCCCTCTTCCTACTGAGGTCTTCCAACCCAATACATGAAGTGGCTATTGTTCATTGAGTCCTTCAGGGACTGCCATCTGACTGTTGAGTGCTGTTAGTTTTTTTTTTTTTTTGGAGAGGTTTTCGCTATAGGGCGTGTGTGCTCGCCAGACAGACAGAGAGAGACAGAGAGACAGAAAGCGAGAAATCACCCCCCACGGGGGATGGTCACGCCGCAATCCCTTCTCCTCCATTCTCCTCTTGGGATCTTGGGCACGCACGCACACACACCCCGCGTGAGTTTTAAGCCACCAGGTCCGGGACGCGAACTGCGGTCGACTACGTGGGAGTCCAGCGACATAACCATTACGCTAACTGCTGGTTACCTAGTGCTGTTAGTTTTATGTGGCAATCAAGGAATGCTCTCCCATCACACCTGTAGCAGAAGAGCATGGTTACGTGCACCCCTTGGAGGAGCAGCACAGTGAGTGCGATTGTCAGTGGCCCCACCGCCGCCAAGCGCGAGCTAACTGAACACGTAAGCGGGATTTGCGGGCTAGGTGAAAGACCTCCCTCGGTTTCACTTGTTCTTATTCTCGCAGTTCCCTTAGGTTTGAGCCTTCCACGCCCGTTTCCTTGAAAGTCCATTTCTGAAATGTAGCAGTATATATTTAACATCAGGCAGCCTGGTCTGCGTCTTGTAATAAGTTAACTGCCCTACCATACCAAAAGGAAAGCCAGGCACAGTGCTTCGTGGGTGTCCACACGTTATCCTAGCATGTCCACACTCAGTCCTGATGTCTGCACGTGTTCTTAAAGAAACAGTTACTAATCATGCCCCCCGATTCATGCACATCCCTCCTCAGTCACAGGAGGTCTCTGGTTACCGAGTGAGTTGTATGTTGAATGCTGTCATGACGGTGATTTCTGTATTAGGGTCTAATAAGCATTGCTTTTTATTTTTTTACTTTTTATTCTTTTCTTGAGAGTTTTTGTTTTTGTTTTTCTTTTCTTGCTACCGGGCGTATGCCCTTGCAGGAGAGACAGAGACAGAGAGACAGAACTTTTTCTTTTTTTGCTACTGGGCGTATGCACTTGCAGGAGAGACAGAGACAGAGAGAGACAAAAAGAAAGTGAGAAATCACCCCCCAGGGGGGATGGCCATGCCGCAATCCCTTCTTCTCTCAGGATCTTGGAATCCTCTCAGGATCCTCCATTCTCCTCTTGGGATCTTGGGTGCGCATGCACACGCGCCCGGCGTGAGTTTTAAGCCACCGGGTCCGGGACTTGAACCACGGTCGACTACATGGGAGTCCAGCAACATAGTCATTACGCTAACTGCTGGTTCTGACACACATTACCTTTTTAAATAAAATATTGCTCATTGGTCAAAAAGGCTTCTTTTGTGTGTGTGTGTAAAAAATCATATTTGAATGGTTTCGATTCCAGAGGACTATGAAATATTGTCTTCTTAGGAAATTGTTAGGTTCTCAGTCAGAAAGCAAAGAGCCATCATTATGTAAAATTCACAGCCAGATGAGCTGCTCGGATTAGCCTGTCTCTGTGGAAGCAGTCTGGTGGTGACTGGCGGTGCCGGCTCTGCACCGGGGCAGATCCCCTCCCCGAGGGCTGCTTGCCTCACACGTGCTCCTCTCCGCTGGCCTGCCGATGGCCTCTCAGGGTTCCTGTACTATGAAGATCTCGCCAGCTGTGTGACCAGGGCGGAAGCAGAGGCGGTCGGCGTGCTGGTTAAAGAGGCCGTCGGGGCATTTCTTCCAGATGCCCTCGTCACCATCACAGGAGGGTTCCGGAGGTAAGTGACAGCCGCCGGGCCTGTCCTGCTCACACCTCCGGGGCTCCCTGTCATGGAGCGGCTTCTGCAATGGCACAAAAGGCCTTTGCCGATCCCGCGCTGGTCCCAGCCTCGCTGCGGCCTCGTCTCCGACCCCTCCAGCTTCGTTCAGCAGCCCGGATGACGGGTATTCTTGCACATGGGCGCTGTTTCTGGCCTCCGTGATCCCGCTCAGTTGGGCTTTTCTGCTTGGACTGCTGTTCCTCAGACTGCCTCCTGGCTGACTTCTCGTCCTTTAAGACTCAGAGGAGATGCCATCTCCTCCAGAAAGCCTTCCTTGACTCCCTCCTGCTCCATGCTAAGTGAAGGGACCTCTTCATTGCTCCCCCTCCATCTGCCAAGCACTTGCGTTACAGTAGTGTGTTTCTGCATGTGCTTTCCCCACTCGGTTTAGAACTCGGTTCTCAGTGAGGCCAGTGCGTGATGCCTGGCACGAAGTGGGTGCTACAGACATCTCGGCTGAGCCAACGAACGAACAGCTCTTTACGGAGATGTGTGCAGTTGTTGGCCGCGAAGGTCTCCTTTCGGAAAGGGTTTCCTTCCCCCCTCACCTCTCCTTCTGGCCTTCTTACCTGTTGGCTGTTTGCTATTCTGACAAAAAGGGAAGGAAGTGGGAGAAGAGCGAATTTAAGGAAATGCTCTCTATCTGTGGCATAATTCCAAGAGCGCTATCGCGGACCACGTGGATACAGCTCTCGCGTCATCTGCTGTCATCTCGTCTTCGTGCACACGCGTGTGTGTGTGTGTGTGCAGGTGTGGGTGTATGCATGCAGATACGTGTGTGTGGAAGAAATAATCTTTGTTACATTTTGCCCACACATACATAATCATGTGAATACAATATGTGACTTTTTACCATGTCCCGAATTTATTTGGTGAGAAATAGAATTGTACAACTGAGGATAAAAAGTATCATTAGCGGGCTATGTTTCAAAACCTTCAGCCTAGGAGAGAGAAGCAAAGGGGATTTCTTAAAACCGAGGGCTAACGATGTCATTGAGTTCCACTTTCTGCTGTTTTTCCAATTAGAGGCAAGAAGACGGGGCATGATGTGGATTTTCTAATTACCAGCCCCGGATCAACTGAAGAAAAAGAAGAAGAACTTTTACAAAAAGTGCTAAACTTATGGGAAAAGAAGGTAAGAGGAAAGATAAAAATACATATGTTTGCACACTCAAGCATGTTATTAACACTGTTGCATTTTGTGCATTATTTACCTCGTAAGTGTGCAAAGACCACCTAACTGGCTCGCGGTCACCTGCAGCAGCTTACGCAAGGCCACCCTACCTGAAGGGAGGCCGGCTGCTTTAGCGCCTAGAGCACGTATCAGGAATACGTGTTCCGTTTACTCACACTTACTCCATGGAAGAGCCAGGGCGGCTGCCCGTCTGTGTATAGCTGTGGAGGCATCAAAGCACCCAAACAAAACCAAGAACATGTGCGGGGAGGGCCTGGGAAGTGTGAGCCAGAACGCCGCAAGCCCGGGAGGGTATCATGCTGTCACCATGAGGGCTGGGGTGACAGCAGTCGGAGAGGCACCAGTAATGCTCGAACTCTGTGCTAGTCGATCACCATCTTGACCTGTGCTGAGACGGAAGAAGGAAACTAAAGAGGGCCAGCTGGATCCGGCAGAGGTCATGGCCCCGAAGCCCCTCTCACTGACAGGCCAGCCTGTAGCCCAGGGGGCGCAGCTAAACTGCACTAACCCTGCAGCCAGAGCCACCTGCAGGGCCCTGACTCCCTGACTGAATAGCAAGAGCCCCACATCCCAGAGAGACCGGAGGCCCTACCCAGGGGACCCGTGTGCCAGGTGAGCTGAGCGGCGGGGGCTGGGGATTCTCTGGCACGGCTTCGTCCTTCCTGAGTGGTTAGCCTCTGTTGGGAGTGGGCTGATACGCCCAAGACTGGACCTCAGACAGAAAGTAAGTTAGAGACGCACAGTCCCAGAGCCACAGCACTGGAGGTGCAGAGCCCACCTTGGAACCCGGCCCAGAGTCACCTGTGAGGCCACCCAATGCTCCTGTGCCTCTCAGCATGGGCACAGGATGGTCAGCGGTCAAGCCAGGAGAAGACCAGCCGGCTGCTGCTCCCACCCTGGGGCCCGGAACGGGTGTCCTGTCTGACCATGGCTACAGGCACCACCCTCCTCACGCTGTGACTGTCCAAGACTGGGATTGACGCGGGGACGACGGGAGCCTCCTTCCACTGGGCTTCCCTCAGTTTCAAGGCAGCCATGCCAGCAGTCCCCAAGCAGAGATGGGCATTTTAAATGCGAACTCCACCATGGAGGCCAGTGTTAAGTACATGGGTTTTAGATTGGGGATTTTATTTCTTCATTTATTTTTAAAATTTTGCTATAAGGCACGTGGGCTCACCAGAGAGAGACAGAGAGAGAGAGAGAGACAGAGAGAGAGAAAGCAACCCCAAGGGGTATAGCCACACTATGATCCTTTCTCCTCCATTCTCCTTATGGAATTTTGGGCACACACACCCATGGGCTCGGCATGTCTTTCAGGTTGCCAAGTTCGGGACTCGAACTTTGTAGTTGGCCATGTGGGATCCAGCTGCCTTAATTACCATGCCACCTAGCTGGCCCAGACTGGGAATTTTTAAAACACAGCCCTGCCACTTACTGGCTATATGACCTTGGCTGTGTTAATGAATCTTTCTAAACTCCACTTTCCTCATCTGTAAAACAGAAATAAGAAGGCTCTGTCATTCATTAGTGGGGAAGATTCCCTGAGAGAACCCAAGTACTCAGCACTGTACCTGGCGAGGAAGTGGCGAACACCTAAGAAACGGCAGCTGCGTCACTGTCTCACGCATAGCTGCTTCTTGAGTTCTGCCTGGAAACCAAGCGCTGGGCCAGGTCAGGAGACCTTCCCTTGCTGACAAAGACTGACCGCAGGAGGAGCTGGGGGGCCCTCGGAGGCCCAGGCCGAGCTATGACTCAGCAGCCCCAGGCCTGCCTGCCCGCACCTCTGCCGTTAATCAGCACCTGGTCTTCACACCTAACCTCACCTCTGCCTCACTGCCATCCCTGCCCAGTCCTACCCAAACTGCACTTTCCAGATTGCAGAGACTCTACACCACGCAGGCACACCCACGTGCATGCTCACGCGACGGCGTGTGTGCACACCCAGTGTGTAAAACACCTGTGGACACAGTGACCCATCAGCGGGTGTCAGACCGAGTCGCCATCGGACGTCTGTAACTATCATCCTTGCAGAAAATCTCTTGGTCAAGGGCAGGAGAAAGGGGAGAAATGGGGCTGGGAAATACAGCCCATGGGCGAGGACCACCAGCCCCAAGGACCCCACTAGCCTGAGTTCTCCCTGGCCTCTGAGTTCAAGCAGAGGGGAGGCTGCGTGACTGGTCTGGTCAGAGCTCCTGGGTTCAGACCCTGCCTGTTCTGGTGGGCACCTCCTGCTCATGAACTGCTCAGGGAAAGTACTGGCAGTCTTTCAGGAGCGAAGAGCGGAATCCTGGGAGAAATAGACTGAGCGTGAGGAGGAGACCCGGAGTCTTCTGGAACTTAAGCAGAGGGCAGAAGGGTCCTGGTGGGGGCCTCACATGCAGCAGGTGGAACCGCCCCCCCCACCTTCTCCACCTCTGTCTGGCTGCTCTGTCCCCTGGAGAGGGATGACACCACGGGAAATATGCCTCCTTCTTGGTCAGCATCTCAGTTTCCAGTAGGAAAAAACACCTCCCAAGTGCCTTGAAAAAGTCTAGACAAGCCCCAACCAAGCTCTTGTTTCTCTGTCACCAGCCAGTGTCCCCACTACCTGGCAATGGCCCAAACACAGCTTGCTTCTAGGAAGTCGGCTCTGTGGGTGTTTTCCTCTTAATTAAAAAAACTCCTTGTTCCCCTTTTATCCAGCACGTGTACGTGTGTGTGAGAGAGGGAGGCCGGGACGGAGAGAGGCGCGGCCCCACAGGGCCTGGCCAGGCAGTGGCCGCGGGGCCCGGTTTCCCGTGATCACCGCAGAACCAGCCCGTGTTGTGGATTTGCAAAGGAGGGGGCCGTCATTACAAATTTGGCTTTCATGTGAAAATCCATAGTATTTTAACAGCTTGCTTTTCAAATTGCACACTATAGGGAACCAGCAGTTAGCGTAATGGCTATGTCGCTGGACTCCCACGTAGTCGACCGTGGTTCGTGTCCCGGACCCGGTGGCTTAAAACTCACGCTGGGCGCGTGTGCGTGCGTGCCCAAGATCCCAAGAGGAGAATGGAGGAGAAGGGATTGCGGCGTGACCATCCCCCCTGGGAGGTGATTTCTCGCTTTCTGTCTCTATGTCTCTCTCTGTCTATCTGGCGAGCGCACGCGCCCTACAGTGAAAATCTCTCCAAAAAAAAATATATATAGTACAAATTGCACACTATAGAAATTCACACGGGAGACCAGCAGTTAGCATAATGGCTATGTCTCTGGACTCCCATGTAGTCGACCGGGGTTCAAGTCCCAGACCCGGTGGCTTAAACTCACGCCAGGCACGTGTGCATGCATGCCCAAGATCCCGAGAGGAGAATGGAGGAGAAGGGATTGCGGCGTGGCCATTCCCCCACCCCCCGCCCTGGAGGGGTGATTTCTCGTTTTCTGTCTCTTTGTCTCTCTCTGTCTGTCTGGCAAGCGCACGTGCCCTATAGCAAAAACCTCTCCAAAAAAATAAATAAATAAAAAATCACACGAAAGTCTGCAATACTATACTCATTTCGGCAAGTTTTGTTAAAAAGCAGAGTTGTGCGTCTCTGAGCTGGCTGTGAGCGGTCCCTTGCGGCAACACTGGCCAGCTCCCCAGAGCGCTTCCTGCTGTCAGGGCTCTCCCCATCTCCTTCAAAAGGAGTTTGCTGTTCCTAATGCCAGGGTGCGAGGCTGGAAGGGCCCTCTTCTGAGATCAGCGAAAGTATCATTTCAGACGGAAACAACACCTCCCAGTGGACTTGCAGGGAAACCTTGTGCCTTATTGAACCTTCCAGAAGCACCTGTGGTGAAATCTGAGCACGCCGGGCCTGAAGAACAGGTCCGTGCTAACAAGTAACACCGGCAGCTATTACCACAGCACTGCATGGCTGTGCGCGTCCAGTTGCGCTCTGAGGTCGCAGTTAGTGGCATGTTTCTGCCTCCGTCCCCGCATCTGCCCTGTGCAGTGAGAAACTCCCACAGAGCGGATGAACTGGGGGGTGGCAGCGCGTGTGGCCTCTTAGAACCACGTGTGAGCTCTGTAAGTGGGCGGGATTACACCGAGCTGCCATCACTTGGTGTCAAGTTGATTTCTGTTCATGACAGTGAGAGTCAGAGAGAGACAAACACCCTCGGCAGGGTCTCGTGCCCTGATCCGCCCCAGTCCACACTCCCGCCTTCCCACCTGGTCCTGATGGTGAGCCTGCACCTGGGGACTGCTGGGAACCAAGCCCGCCACCTCCCATGCGATCCAGCATGGCTTAAGCAGCACCGCACTGCTGAGCGCCCACCTCCGGGCCCACAGGACACAATTCCACCCCACGGTCTCCACGGCAGGCAGAGTAATAGTACCTTGAGAGAAAGAGCATCTCAAGTACTCCTGGAAAGGCCCAGCCGGCCTGCCCCCATGGGGCCCAGCCTCCAGTCGCAGCTCTTCGCGCAGTTAAACTCGGGTGTGGTGTAACATAAAGGGACCCTGACTCATAGCAGCATGGATTCTGTTTGTGGCTGGTTGGTTTTTAAGGGGCGAGGATCAGCACTGAGCGCTGGCTGTGACTCAGGGGTGGAGGGATGTCCTTGCAGGTTGCCTGTGCGGCTCTGGCTTAGCCTCTGAGTTCCCCTTGTGCAGAAGGAGGGTGATACAGCCACAGGATCGGCTTCCTGTCCTAGGGTGGCCAGGTGGCCTCGTAGTCAAGGACACACAGCCATGTTCGGCCCCATCTGCGAAGTCTCAGTAAGAGCCCAACACGACCCAGCCACTCTCCGCGGGACCCTTCCTGACCTTCCTGCCTCTTCCAGGGCTTGCTATTGTACTACGACCTCGTGGAGTCAACGTTTGAAAAGCTCAAGACGCCCAGCAGGAAGGTGGATGCCTTGGATCATTTTCCAAAATGCTTCCTGATTTTAAAATTGCACCACCAGAGAGTGGACGGTGACAAGCCCAGCCAACAGGAAGGGAAGAGCTGGAAGGCCATCCGTGTGGACCTGGTCATGTGCCCCTACGAGCGACACGCCTTCGCGCTGCTGGGGTGGACCGGCTCTCGGGTAAGCGCCACATGGACGAGTGTGACAGCGTCCCGTTCCTCAGCTTTCCCCAAGACACACACAGGTCTCCAGGAGTCCAGCGAGACATGGCAGTGGGCGTGGGGTGGCGGGAGGGGCAGTGCCAAGAGACCTCTTGGTGGGGCACTGTCCTGCACGTGGGCCAGTGAGACAGATTAATTTAGAGCACTGATTGCCCACCTGTCACCCTCAGAGCAGCAGCAGCCTTACCTAGGAACAGGTCAGACATGTGCATTCTCTGTCCCACCCCAGACCTACCGCCTCTGCAGCTCCGGGGGTGGAGCCCAGCAATTCGCGTTTCAAACACCCTCCGGGGGATTCTAACTTAGCTCAGTGTGAGAACCGTAAAGTACAGGAGCTAGCAAGGTGGTGAAGAGCACAGACAGGGCTCAGACGGGCTACAGGCCCCTGCTCTGCCTCGTCCCAGCGCAGGGGCGCCCATGTCCTAGAGGGCTCGGTTTTCCTATCAAGAAACAAAGGCAGTGACCTTCCTGCCTCTGGGTTGCAGAGATTAAGATGCTCTTTGAACCTTAGGACCCCGCCAGGATTCAGCAGGGGATAAAACGCAGCTGCCAGCCCTGCCCCAGGAGAGGATGCCGTTGCCCAGTCCCGTGAGCACGCGCTCCAACCACTGTGCAAACCGAGCACCCACACTCTTCCTCCTGCCTCCCCAAGAAGCTGGCTACTGCCTTGAATGAAGCGAACCCTTCGTTCTATACGAAAGAATGACATTCTATACGAGAGAATGACACAACATAATCGAAGTTCGTGTCAGGTGTCTTTGCTTTGGGCTGGAATTATGTCAGCGCAGGGTCTTAGCACTGGGATTTCTTACCCTAATTGAAAATGTTGATCGGCAATGAAATGCATCTTTCATTCATACAAAATGGAAAAAAAAAAAACAAACTAATGAAACAATGTAGATAATGCGCTCTACTGGTAGACATAATTCTTTGGGAAACAACAGTCTGTTGACAAAGGGGAGGGTTCCAAAAATAAGCCCTTGGCCGTGTGAGGGCAAACGTAGTAGAAATCGGTGGTAATGTCGTCCTTTGCCATCTTTTTGTTTTTGTTTTCACCATAGGGCATGTGTGCTTGTCAGAGAGAGACAGAGAGAGGGCAAGTGAGAGATCACCGCCCCCCACAGCGGGGATAGCCATAGCACATTCCCTTCGCCTCCACTCTCCTCTTGGGCATGCATGCACACATGCCTGGCATGAGTTTCAAGTTGCTGGGTCCACCATGGTCGGCCATATGGGAGTCCAGCACCTTAACCACCACGCCACCTGCTGGCTGCCTATTTTTTTAGAAAGAGATTTTTATTTTATTTTATTTTATTTTATTTTATTTTATTTTATTTATTTGACCAGAAAGAGAGAAAGAGAACGTGAGAAAGCAAGCCGCCAGATCCGGGACTCAAACCGTGGTCAGCCATGTGGGAGCCCAGCACCTCAACTACCACGCCACCTGCTGGCCACCTATTCTGTTTTTAAGACAGACATGTTTTCAGCATGTTCTCGTGTCTTCTCTAAGCACTCAGGCATCACTCAGCAAGGCTCCACCACACCTTAGCTGGAGACGTTAAATGAATAATTTAAGCTCTGGGAGCCCCAGCTGCCTGATCGGTACCAGGGCTAACAGAGCTGCCTGGATTCGATAAGACGTGTGTGTTTAGACGGGGAAGGCTCAGCAATGGCGGCTTCTTGTGCAAGTGTCTCTGCCCTCCACTCACACGGCCGCCAGGGCTGGTGCGTTTTGCCTCCTGCAGCAGCTCCAGTCTGGAGCTGTGTCTCCAGGAGGTATATTGGTGGTGACTAGGATTGGCCTTGTCGAAATGCCATGGCTCCTTTTCCTCAAAGGTGTCAGGTCTTGGGAAATGTTACCTATGGTCTCACCTTAGCCTGGGGTATTAATTTACTTCTGAGTCACAGTTTCCTAGTGATCGTCCCGGCCTAAAGGTTTTCTGAGCAGAACCACTCCACGAGAGCACATCGGCTTTAAAAGATGGGCGATAGAGCTAGCCCTTATCTGTAAGTTTCCAATTTATATTGTTTCATTCCATGTACAAACCCATTTTTTTCTACAAATGGTTTTGTTTTTTGTTTGAGTTTTTTTGCGTTGGACAATTGTAAAGGAAAGCAGAATGATTTAGCATGATTTTTGCTTCGATGACATTAGGACAAATTTTTAATTGTCCTAAAAAAAAAAAAAAAAGAACACATCAAGTTTCTAAAGCCATCCACGTATGACCTGATTTCTGGACCAGGTATAAAGTTCATTAGTCAAACATTGAAAGAAACCTGTTTTCTCCAGATCACGTTTCTTTTCTTTTCTTTTTTTCCCCTTAGATTTTTGCTATAGGGTGTGTGAGCTCACCCGAGAGACAGAGAGAGAGAAAGCAAGAAGTCACCCCTCAGGGCCGATGGCTACACCACAATCCCTTCTCGTCCATTCTCCTCTTGGGATTTTGGGCACACGAGCACACACGCTCGGTGTGAGTTTCAAGTCTTTGGGTCTGGGACTTGAACCGCAGTCAACCATGTGGGAGTCCAAGCAGACCTGAGGAGCCAAGGGCAGCCTCCACTGCCCCCCTTTGCTCCCTCCTGCCCTCACCCTGGCCCCGGCCTGGCCTCTCTAGCTGCCTCAGCACAGCCAGAGCCCCCACTGGCAGCTAAGTGAGGGGGGAGTGGCCCAGGGCTGGAGTGCAGCTACCCCAGTCAGAGTCTACTTCACCCCATTTCTCTATAGCTCTCTCTCTACACCCACTTATTTATTTTTTAAATAATTATTTAACTTTATTTTTTTTTATTTGATCAGAGAGGGAAGAGAGAGAGAGAAGGTGACAAAGTAAGCCTTCAGGTCCGGGACTTGAACTGCTGGCAGCCATGTGGGCGTCCAGTGCCCTTAACCACCACGCCAGCTCAGCCCCCCTCCACCCCTTTATGAAGGAGTTTTCTCACTCAGCCCAGCAAGCATTCTATAATAGGAAACAGATCCCTGCCACTAGAGGGCACCACCTCCCCAGGCTTTCTCCCTAATCCCAAGGACACCGGTTTTAGATCCCTTGCCTCTCCCAGGAAAACCAGCCTCAGTGACAATGTTGGGCATTGACCTCCTTTTCCAAGCTGCTCCTTTCCTCCTCTGGGCTTCAGGGTTTGCTTCTTGCAACGTCAGAGCCCGCTCCAGATGGGGCCAGTTGCTGTTCTGGGCAGGAAACTCTGAGGGTGGATTCCCAGGCTCTGGGGCTGAGGGTACACTGAAGCCAGAGGGGCCCCAACCTTCCCTTTCCCCATTGTTTTGCCTGGCCAATCAGAATGCAGAGAGGTTAGTGACTTGTCAACTGACACACAGCCAGGTAGGCACAGAATTCCGTCTGGCATGGCCTTCTGACTCTTCGTCCTCTCTCATCATCTACCCAGCGTTTACTCTGGGCCGTGTGTTCTGGACAATGCTCTCACTCCGTGTGCTTACCCCACAGACTCTCGCGGGCATTCTCTACATGCCAGGCACTGCCTGACAGGGACAGGGTTGGGGACAAAGCAAACCAGTGCCTGTTCCCACGGAGTGCACAGGCTGCAGGCCTGTGGGAGCGGGCGCTCTGTCAGCAGTGAGCTTCGCCCGGGGGGACGGTCACGTCCAGGGCGTTTGGTGGAGGTCGATTCTCACCAGAGGGACCTGGAGATCTTTAGGACCGAACGCTGAAGACACTCTGGGCCCTCAGTCATTTGTGTCAATTCCCTCTTGTCCAGCAGTTCGAGAGAGACCTGCGGCGCTATGCCACGCACGAGCGGAAGATGATGCTGGATAACCACGCTCTGTACGACAAGACCAAGGTACAGCAGCCCCCCAGAAACGGGCTAGAGGAGCCTCATCCCAGGGCTGCCCCGGGCACTTTCCCTGAACACATCCCAGCATCCAGGCATTTCCTTTGCCGTCCGCGCCTGCTCCGTAGATGGCAGCAGAGAGCAGCTGGAAAGCTCCCCATAGGCCTGTGGTCCCCCCTGGCCAGGGGCTCCTGACTCAAAGGTAACAAGCTCGGTGGGCCCCCAGACCAGTCCCGCCCTGTACCGAGTGTGGCTCATCCGTGGGGTTCACAGTGAGTAACTCCAAAGGCGTTACCTAAGGATCGCCCAACTCACAGTGGAGTACCCCTCAAACCTAGGGGCGGTGCATTTCAAGTGGCCGCCTCGGCGGGTATGAGTGCCCTGAGGTAGGAGAGCCACAGAGCTGCCCTGAGACATCACGAACAGCCAGGCAGTGCCCCAGCCAGCTACACAACCACGTGGCGTGTCCAGAGTGGCATGTTCCTGGGTGATGGGCTGAAGACGGACCTGCTGAGGCCATGAGCAGCAAGGCCCGCTGCCCTTACGATGGTCCTGGACACAAACACAGGCCCCTGGGGAGGAAGGCGCAGTTAACTAGCAAGTCCAGGAGAGGTATATATTTAGTTAGGGCTGTCTCTGTTACCAGAGTCAGGAACTGAACCCAAAATAGCATAGGTGAAACAAGGATGAACCTGCGGGTGGTACGGTGGTTAAGACAGCTGGACCCCAACGGCCAGCTGCATGGCTTGAGTCCTGGACCCAGCAGCTTGGAAACCACACTGGATGTGTTTGCTTATCTCCCTTCCCCCCCCAAAAAAAAAAGGAGAAGGGATTGCAGTGTGGCCATCCCCCCCGAGGAGGGGGTGCTTTCTCACTTTCTCTCTCTGATGAGTGCACATACCCTCTAGCAAAAATAAAAAAAGAAAGGAAGAGAAAAGAAAAGAAAAAAGGGAACTTGGGCTATATACTGCAGCATCCAGGGCAGGGCTGGCTTCAGGTGCAGCTACATCCAGGTGCTCGGGAGGGCTTCCCTCTGTGTTTGTTCCATTGTAGGCGGAAGTTTTCCAGTGAATTCCATTCTTCCAATTACTCCAGCAGACAAGCCCTATTTTCTAATAGTTCTAGCAAGAATCCCAGCTGATACTCCTTGGTCAGGCCTGGGTCTTGTGCTCATAGCTGAACCATTACTGTAGCTCTGATTGGGCGGGCTTCGCTCATGTGCTCCTCCTTGGAGGTGGGAACAGCTCTGCCTGACCCTCACGGACTAAGAGGGGAGAGGGGTGGCTTCCCAAAGAAAAAACAAAATGCTGCTCCCAGGAGAGGGTTTGTGGATGCGAGCAGGAAGGGCTCAGATGCTGAGCACGTGAGTGGGAGCAGTCACGGAACCGTCTAGGAACCTCACAGAATGACACGCACCGAACAGCGAAAGCCGGCGCCCCCCGCGTGCCTGGCATCGCTCTGCAGAGGTCGCTGACACGCACCGAACAGCGAAAGCCCGCGTGCCTGGCATCGCTCTGCAGAGGTCGAATAGTCCGTGTCTGAAAAGTTGGGACAAAAGGGTTTCAGATTTCAGACATTTTTTTCATTTTGGAACATTTGCATATACATAATAATCTTTCTTAGGGATGGAACCAGGTCTAAACATGAAATTAGTTTATGTTTCTCATATACCTTGTACACACAGTCTAAAAGCAACTTTGTATCAGGTTTTTTTTTTTTTTTTTGGGAGGTTTTTCTTTTTTGAGAGGTTTTTCGCTATAGGGCACATGCGCTCACCAGACAGAGACATGAGACATAGAGACAGAAAGCGAGAAATCACCCCCCAGGGGGAATGATCACGCTTCAATCCCTTCTCCTCCATTCTCCTCTCGGGATCGTGGGCATGCAATATCAGTTTTTTTGTTTGTTTTGTTTTGTTTTGTTTTGTTTTTTTTAATGCCATAGAGTGCGTGTGCTCACTGAAGAGAGACAGAGAACGTAAGAAACCCCCCCCGCGGGTGGTGGCCATGCCGCCATCCCTTCTTCTCCACCTCTGCCTCTCCTCATGGCTTTGAGGACACACACCCACACCTGGTGTGTTTCTCAAGCCACTGGGCCCAGGACTCGAAACCTGCCATCAGCTATGTGGGAGCCAGCCACTTCAACAGCCACCAGGCCACTGAAGAGAGACAGAGAACGTAAGAAACCCCCCCCGCGGGTGGTGGCCATGCCGCCATCCCTTCTTCTCCACCTCTGCCTCTCCTCATGGCTTTGAGGACACACACCCACACCTGGTGTGTTTCTCAAGCCACTGGGCCCAGGACTCGAAACCTGCCATCAGCTATGTGGGAGCCAGCCACTTCAACAGCCACCAGGCCACAGACTCAGCCCCATGTAAGACTTTTCACATTGCAGTGTTTGACTGTGACCTGTCATATGAGGTCAATGAGAGATTTCCCCCTTGTGTGTCATGGGGGTGCCAAAAAGTTTCGCATTTTGGGGGCCAGCAGATGGTATAGTGGTTACATTGCTGGACCCCACGTGACTGACCAAGGTTTGAGTCTGGACCAAGTGGCTTGAAATCACCCCAGGTGCATGTGCGTGCATGCCCAAGATCCTTGGAGGAAAGAGGAGGAGAAGGGATTGCAGCGCGGCCATCCCCTCTGGGGAGTCATTTCACGCTTTCTCTCTCAGTGTATCGGTCTCTCTCTCTCTCTCTCTCCAGCGAGCACACGCTCTCTAAGGTGTAGTTCATATTTTTGGATAAGGGGTGCCAATGTCTGCCACACATGGCGCTTGATCTGAAAGAGGTCGTGGAGAGGGAGCCTGGTGGGACTGGAGGCAGGTGTGGAGGCTGCTGGAGAGCCCAGCACCTCCCAGTGTCCCGTAATTACCAGAATTACCCAGAGTTCTCAAATGGATCGACGACAAGACCTCTCTTGAGGCCCTGATTCCATTGGACAGCAGTGTGGTTCAAGCTTTATTTAAGAAAAATAAAACAACAACCTCCAACAGAAGGTTCAGCTGTGGTTGAGAACCGGAGACCCACAGGGACGTGTTCAAGTACCTTCAGCTAACGCTGTGAGGCTGTTGTGTTATTACCGTAATTTGCTTAGTGCCCTATTTTTTAACGGAAAACTGCAAAAATGACAGAAGTCAGTTATGAAGATTTTTGACCTTCAAAAGGTTATGTTAGGTTGCCAGAAAAGTCATGCCATATTTTCTATGTTTTTCTATGTAAAACGCATCATGACTTTTCTGACAACCCACTATTTCGGCAATAACTTATTCCGATTTCAGTTTTGCGAGGGCTATTTACACTGTGTCCACACCGAGATGCTTAGAAAAGTACCTGAATGCCTGCCTTTCTTGTGCTTTCAGAGGGTATTTCTCAAAGCAGAGAGCGAAGAGGACATTTTTGCCCATCTGGGACTGGATTACATTGAACCATGGGAAAGAAACGCCTAGGGAAGGTGCCCCTGTGGTTTCCCGCTCTCTTCGTTAGCTACAGTGTGCTTCATCTTAGAAGAAGGAGCCTTGGGGAAGTCGCACCCTTCCGGCCTCGGTGTAGAGCGCTGCTGGAGGGAAACAGCTTCGGCGCCGTTCGCAGGCGCCCATCACATGCCCTGCAGTGCGCAGGCGCCCGTCACGGTCATCCCCTGCAGTGCGCAGGCGCCCGTCACGGTTATGCCCTGCAGTGCGCAGGCGCCCGTCACATGCCCAGCAGTGCGCAGGCGCCCGTCACGGTCATGCCCAGTAGGCCGTGTGCGGGTCGCACGTGGCAGTAGACGCGCTAGCATCGCAGTGGTGCAGGAACGTTCAGCAAGCCCCAGGTAGTGAAGCCCTCTGCGTCTCCAATAAACATAGGAACAAGCAAGGCTCTGCGGTCTCGCTTCCGTCTCTCAAATACTATCAACCATTTTGAAACACACACGTAACAAAGGAGAAGGGGGAAGAGTTGATGATTGTCTTGATGAAGGGGCGTCCTTAGAAGATGCGGAGATGCCAGAGGGGGTTCTGGGCTCCTTCTGGAGCTCTGGGAGAAGGGGGTGCTGACTCTGGACTTGCGGGGCTCTGTTCACAGTTTGATCTACCCCAGCCCCCAGGAACGGGGTCTCTAGGCAACCCCTGCCAGGTGTCACAACCCAAGGCCACATGCGGGACATGTGTGTCCACTGTGCTGGCTAGCAAGGAAGTGCAATCTCCTAGCCCCTTACAGAAGTTCTCCTTTGGGACCAGCAGATGGTGTAGCGGTCACGTTGCTGGACTCCCACATGGCTGACTGGTTCTAGTCTCAGACCCAGTGGCTTGAAAATCACACTGGGCATGTGTGCATGCGTGCCCAAGATCCCAGGAGGAGAATGGAGGAGAAGGGGCTGCAGCATGGTCATAGTCATACCTCCTGGGGGTGATTTCTCACTTTCCCTCTCACTGTCTCTGTCTCTCTCTCTCCAGCAAGCACATGCACCCTAAGGCAAAAACCCCTTTGAGGAAAGAAAATAAAGAAAGCTCACCCTCTTTTTCCCATTTGGAGTTTCTCCCTGGATCTTAGAAGCTCAGAGCCTCTCAGGAAGACGGTCTTGGCCTCTTTGTCCCGGGGCACCCAAGGAACAGGAGGCAGCCCTGGCTGAGGCAGCAGGTGGCACTCCCAGGCTCCACACCTGTTCTCAACTCCTGTGTCCTCCAGGAGGACACAGACTCTATCCCTCGGAGAAGCCTGAATATGCTGGGAGGCCCCAGGACAACCTCGCTCCCTTCCTTCCAGCCACCTCAGGGAAGAGGAAACTGGGAGAAACTGGACCCCAAAGAAAAGAGTGATTCCCCCAAAGTGCATGAGAAAGAGACTCCTTGTCTTTCTAGTATCGGTGCCTGGGCACAGGAGGTGTATCAGTACTGCCAGAAGTCCAGTGTGACAAGGCACACCAACACCCAGTGGCCTAAAACAACACAGATCAGGCCAGCAGGTGGCGTGGTGGCTAAGGCACTGCATTTGAAGTCCTGGACCCAGTGGCTTGAAAAACACACCAGTCACGTGTGCGTGCATGCCCGAAACTCGGAGAGGAGAATGGAGAAGGGATTGCAGCATGGCCATCCCCCTGGGGCGATTTCTTACTTTCCCTCTCTGTCTCTCTGATAAGTGCACGTACTCTAAGAGTGCGCGTGCGTGCGCACGCACGCATACACACACACACAGGCTGGTCTGTGGCACAGTGGTTAAGCCGCTGTGCAGGGAAAGCTGGATCTCACTTGGCCAATCAGGGCTGGAGTCTGAGCTCCGATGACTCAAAAGACATGCAGGGCATCCACGCGTGTGCTAGCACCCTGATGGGATGGGGAACTTAGAAAAGGATAGTAGTGCGGCCATGGGCCTGCTGAGGATGAGAGGCTCTCCCTCTCTCTCCCTCTCTCTCTCTCCCCGCCCCCTCCTTTCTCCCTTGGGTGCACACACCAGCCTCTGGCATAGAACACAAAGCACACACACAGATCTGCACAGTGGCTGCATGTTCGGCTGGGCCATGCTTGGATCAGGCTGGTTCAGGCTGGATCAGGCTGGGCCAGGCCGGCTCTGGTCTGCCCATCCCTCCTCCTCCTGGGCCCAGTGGGCTGTCCTGGGCTACCTTGGACTACCGCAGGTACCTTCCCGTGATGACAGCAGACAGGTGAGTGAGCAAACCCAGGTGGGCAAGCACTTCCCATGCCTGTCAGGACCCAGGGACCAAAGCGTGTCACGTGCCAGCCCTGCGGGGCAGGAGCTGCGCCCTGTCCGGGGAGGACATCGCCCCGTTCTGTGGCCTGGAAGCAGGAGGGGCAGAGAAGGGGTGCACGGTGCAGTGCTGTAGGGAGACAGGCGTTAGTCTCCTCTCACTCTCTCACCCTCCTCCAACTGCCGGCTTTGTCCTGGTAGACGTCGAGGCGCCCTTTGGAGCTGGGGAAGGGGTGCTTCAGCTCTGCAGGCCTGAGCTCTGAAGGCTCGGCTGGTAGATGGTGAGATTGGGAGGCAGGGGGCTGGCTGCAGCGGAGGTGCCCCTGCCGTCTGGGCTCTAAGAGACAGAAAACCATGAGGTTTCCTGGCCCTGCCCAGTGCAGCCCATCGGGACAGCTAAGGCCGCCTCCCTCGCCAAGGTCACATCTCTGCTCACAGCTGTCGGGTGGAGCGTTTCACAGCATCCTGGCCCAGGAAGCCCTGAGGGGTAGGACACCTGCCTGACCGTGAGAGCCATCGTAGGTGCCTGCCGGTGTGCTCCGGACACACAGCTCGCCTCGGCCGCTCACACGGGTCTCAGTAGCTTCTTGCTCGTCCCCCTGGGAACCTATGTCCCTCAGCCCTGCCCCAGGAGGGTCGCACTGACTTGGGGAGGGTCCCCAGCAGACCTTCCTGTGATGACAGGCCTCAGCGTAGGAGGCTGGGATGAGGGCTGGGGTGCCCGGGGGCCTGACCCACATGGCAGCCTGGAGCTGGGAGCCCCCAGCCCTCGGAACCTCAAGTCCAGAGGAGCCTGAGGTGAGGGGAGCGGGAACAATGAGCCTGCCCTGGGGGTGCGGAGAGAGCAAAAGGGGGGCTGGCCTGCTCCTGGGCAGTGAGAAGTCCGAGGAGCAAAGGTGGGGGCCCTGTGCTGCCCGATCCCGAGAGCACAGGGTGGGAGAGGAGCCCGTGAGATGGCCATGGGCTGTGCTGACCACTAGCCCATGCCCAGGGGAGCCGGAGGAAGCCATGCAGAGGGAAGCAGATGGGCGGTGGGGCACACAGAAGGGCAGTACCAGCGCCTGGCATGGGGGTCAGGAGCTCGGGCTTGGTGCTTGGCTGTCCCCTGATGCTGAGGCTTCACGGCTCTGCTCTCCAGCACACGTGGTCTGACCGACACCACCCAGACTCCCTTCCTGGACTACGGAGAGGACTGCTCTGGGGCTGGGCTCGGGCAGCCTCTGGGACAGGGACTCTGATGCCGGCATGAGGCAGGCCCCTCTCGGAGGGAGGGAAGCCAGGTCTAGGCCCAGGCCTCTCACCTTCTCTGCCCTGACAGCGGGGAGTCAGAAGGAGCTCGGGCGTTCTGGCAGAGACTGGGCTGAGCCACAGGACGGGCCCTTGGGCTCAATGTCCAGGTCTCTTCTTCGCTGTCCTGGCCTCTCTCAGGACAGGCCTGGGAAACAGTGAAAGAAAATTAACAGCAAATGACAGTGTCACCGGCCAGCACAGGAGCAGAGCTGACACCTGGAGGACATGAGCTGGCCAGCTAGGTAGGGACGAGCCAGGCCTGGAGACTGGGGGCTCCCTCAGGCCTGGGGAGCTGGTGGCAAATCCCCCTAGGAGGAGGGACCCGAGCAGGTTACCATGAGCAGAGGCTCTGGATCCTCACGGATGTTCGAACCCTGGGGGTCAGGGAGGGTGCCGTGTGCCCCACAGACTGTGAGGGGACATCCCGGCCAGGGCTCTTGCTCTGTGGACGACCATCTAGAAACGAACTCCTGGGACTTCTCTCACGCCCTTCCAACTTGACAGGAAGGGAAGTTTTCGGTACGTGTGACAGAGGTCAAACACCGGCAGCCCGGGGCCACAGATGGCCTGCAGAGGGTTTCCGTTTGGCCTCCATTGTATTTTAGGAAGTTTTGAATGAGTGGCCAATATTTAAAACTTGATAGAGTGCATGTTTAAAAATATAGGATTTATGTCCTGTCTTAGAAAACAGAAGAAGGGTCATGATATAATCACACTCCATTTGTCACCAGTCAGCCAGAGCTGAGCAGCGTTGTCCTCTGCAGCCGACCTCCGCTGCCGGCCTCCACACCCATCCTTTGCAGCTGGCCTCTGCAGCCAGCCTCCGCAGCACTGCCCACAGCCCACACCCAGCCACCGCCCTCTAGCTTCCCTGTGACAGTGTCTCACCAGCCCCTCGACTTCCTTACCCGTAAGTCCTGAAGCGGTGTCGCGGTCTGAGTGGGAGCCACACTGCACACCCTGGAAGGCACGCGCTCCCTCTGGCTTGTTTTCTCATCTTAGAATGAGGAGGCCACTGCCAGCTGGTGGCATGGTGGTTAAGGTGCTGGTTCCTTCAGGGCCAACCATGCTACTTGAGTCCCAGACCCAGCGGCGTGAAAAACATGCCGGCGCGTGTACAAGTGTACCCCAAATCCTGAGAGGAGAATGGAGGAGAAGGGATTGTGTGTGGCCATCCCTCTCAGGGGCGGCTTTCTCACTTTCTCTCTCTGTCTCTGTCCCTCTATTTCTCTCTGACTAGTGCACATGCCCTATAGTAATTTTTTAAACTGAAAAAGTATAAATGAATCAGGTCAGTCCAAGTAGTCAAAGAATCCCTTCCAGTTATAATGCTGGTGCGGGGGCTGCATTCGCATTGGTGGTGCACGTACCCCAGTAAGCCTCTGGGGCCCAGTTATAATGCTGGTGCGGGGGCTCTTTCACATTGGTGGTGCACGTACCCCAGTAAGCCTCTGGGACAGCAGAGCGGCAGCAGGGACGTCACCACTCATCCTACCCCGCAGCCCTGGTGGTCACTGCCAAATTGCCAAATCCAGAATCCTTCTCAGCACTGCTGGCAGGAAGGCTTTTCCCACTTTTTTTTTTTTTTGAGAGGTTTTTCACTATAGGGCGCGTGCATTCTCCAGGCAGACAGAGACATAGAGACATAAAGCGAGAAATCACCCCCCAGGGGGGATGGCCACGCCGCAATCCCTTCTCCTCCATTCTCCTCTCGGGATCTTGGGCACGCACGCACACACGCCCGGTGTGAGTTTTAAGCTACCGGGTCCGGGACGCGAACCGCGGTCAACTATGTGGGAGTCCAATGACATAGCCATTATGCTAACCACTGGTTCTCACTTTTCCCACTTTTTTAAGAGAGATTTTTACTATTGGGCACA